CCGATCCGAATCCGACCGCCGATCCGACTTCCGTGGAGGAGTTCCCGCCGATCCGACTTCTCCCGATTCGCTTCGATCGCCGAATCGACTCATCGATTCGCTTCTGGGCGCTCCTGTTCCTCGAGAAGGCCACACCCCTCGCCCTGCCCTCCTCCTGCCTGCTGCCAGCAGGTGGAGGCCGCGCGGTACGACGCCGCACTGCAGGGCGCCGGGATCACCACGATGGCCGAGGCCTTGGGCGGCCCAAACGTACAGTGGAGGCCCCATGCCAAGAAGCACCCTGCTTGCCTCCAAGGTACCGTGGGTTTCTTGGGTTTCGACGGTCTTGCTGTGGAAAGCGTGAGGCTCCCACTCCAAAAATCAAGAGACATCCTGGGGTCTCAGGGTTGGGTTTCTTGTGGAAGGTTTCTTGTGGTCGAGCCCCATACTGTACCCCCAGCACGACGTACCCCCCGAGTGAGGGTTCGAAGCGGCCACGGTTCCAGCCGCGGGGGCCGCAGCGCAGCAGCTGAACTGTGCGCTCCGAGGTGGGCCCCGAGGCACCCTCTCCAGGGCACACTCCAGTCGTGGGAAGTATGTATGATATGATAGGCTTGTTTCCACCACCACCACCATAAGTTGGAGGGGGAGGGGGTCCTCCTCCTCCTCCTCCTTCTCCTCCTCCACATCCTCCTCCTCCTCCTCCTCCTCCTCCTCCTCCTCCTCCTCCTCCTCCTCCTCCTCCTCTGGTCCTCCTCCTTTTCCTCCTCCTCCTCCTCCTCCTCCTCCCCCTCCAACTTATGGTGGTTGTGGTGGAAGACAGGCCCATCAATGCATTTGTGGCAGATCCCAATCTACACCCAGCGCCTTCCTATTTCAAGAATCGGCATGCCGTTGCTATGTTCTGTGGTTCTCTGGGAGGGCCTTAGCCCAATCTGATCTGTCCGCCTTCCTACCTCATGTGTTTGCCCACCTCTTCCGACCAACGTGTGCGTCTGTTCTTTGGCCTCGCCTGCGAGGCGATCACGGTGCTCGTGCAGACGCCGCGGGACGGTCCGGCTGCCGGTGTGGTGAGGCTCGCCGAGCCGCGCGACGGGCTCTTCGAGGACGATGCGTTTCTCAGGAGCGTCGCGGCATCGATATAAATGGCTTTTGCACCCCTGCCCTTGGCGGACGGATGACGGTCGTCATACAGTGCCGTTTTTAATACATGCTCCGCGTGCAGATCATGTATTTAACATGTTGGGGTTTAGTATTAAAAACAACGACGAGTTCATGCATACATGTATTCATATATTAACCATGTATTGAAATCCCACATGCTTGAACATCCAATGTATTAAAAACTGCCCTGTAATGTGACGCTTTCCGCGATCGGGGGCGCCTGCCCCAGGACGGAGGGGAAGCTTCCATCCGCGTTGGGGCAGGCGTCCCGACGGCGGAATGGCTCCATAAGCAATTGCTTACGAAACATACTTCGCTTGATGACACAGCGCGGATAATCATATGATATCCGAGTATCCGAATTCTGTTTCCTGCGCGGATGCATGTGCTTCCAGGGTTTGTCCCACGCCCGCGCCCGCGCCCGCTCGCAGGGCGCCTCGGGGGAGGTCTCCGTGCGCGGGGTTTGGTTTCCCGAGCAGCCGCGCCGCGCTGGCGCCCGTGCCCGCTCGAGGGCGCCGCGGGGGCGCCCCGTGCACCTGCACCGCACGGCTTGCACAGCGTAGCTCGCACCACACAGCCTGCACCGCATACAGTGGACTTGGCATCGCTCGGACGTGTGCATCTTTCCTTCGGCGAGGACCATCGAGGAGCATCCTTGATGATTTGGCGAAAAAACCACGCACGAAACCGAAAAAAGCACAGGGAATGGACGTCCGAGCGATGCACCCCGTTTGCCTCCAAGGTGCCGTGGCTTCCTCGGGTTCCGACGGTCCTGCCATGGAAGGCGTGCCGTTCCCGCGCCGAAGCTCGAGCGGCGTCCTGGGGTCTCAAGGACGAGGAGGAGGAGGAGGAGGAGGAGGAGGAGGAGGAGGAGGAGGGGGAGGGGGAGGAGGAGGAGGAGGAGGAGGAGGAGGAGGAGGGAGGAGGAGGGGGAGGAGGAGGAGGAGGAGGAGGAGGAGGAGGAGGAGGAGGAGGAGGAGGAGGAGGAGGAGGAGGAGGGTCTCAGGGCTGGGTTTCTTGTGGAAGGGCTCTTGTGGTCGGGCCTCCACCGTAGCCTGCAGCGCGAAGCTCGCACCACACGGCACCCTTCTGCACAGCAAAGCCTTCACAGCACAGCTCACATCACATGCCTTGCCTTTCGTAGCGCTCACCAGACAGCTCACGCCACATAGGTTGCACTGCATCTCTTACACAGCATCTCGCTCTGTTCCTATTCCTACATGTTGACTACCCGGGCCCCCCCCCCCTAAACCGGACCCCCCCTTCTAGGGACGCCCCGGACGCTCTTTCGGACGTCTCGGCGGCCCCCTGGACGCCCTTGGAAAAGGCCCGCGGCCTTCCAGGGCGCCTTGCCGGGCCTTGCGAGCAGACTCTAGGCGATCAGAGGGATCATCGGACAGGCGCAAGAGAGACCCAAGACAGCACAAGAGCGCTCCAAGAGGAACCTCGATGGTCTGAAGACAGCCCAAGAGGCCCCCAAGACGCTCCAAGAGGCCGTTAAGAGAGCCCCGAAGACGCAACAATCGTCGCATTACGTAGGAAAAGGTAAATGTTTAGCATCTCAGCTTTTTGGGTCTTCGCAGCGTCCAAGACGCCCTGCAAGGTGCAGGAAGCAAACGAAGACCCTGGCGGGCGAGCTGGGCCTCACTTGCTTCTTGCAGTAGACAGTAGCCATGAACAGCTGATCTTCTGGAGCGTCAGAACGTGGGCCACGCTGCTTGTCAAGTGTGCCACTGGGAAATGATCGCCACCATCCCTCCTCATCCTGCCTCTTTCGTTGTCGTCGTCTTCCTCCTGCCGCCGTTTCACTGCTGCTGTCGAGTGAAACTTTCGGCCCTCATCCATGTTGCTCCTGCCCCTCGCTACCACCCCCCATTTCCTCTTCGAGCCTGGGGGTTCAGTCCTCGTCCTTCTGTTGCTGCCCTGTGATGTGCAACGCGCGCGCTCCCCATTTATATTGCGCATCCAATGGCCGAACTTGCGTTGTCATCAGCCAGATTAGTCTGGACAAGCCCCTACTGTCACTGAGTATGGTCTGGGTATTTCGCAGGGTACACGCATTCGTAGATGTACATGTATGCAGATGTATGTATACACGAGTATTTCACCGCATCGGTGAAATAGTAATGCTAACACCACATAGCGTACACAACAGCACTCACCACATAATTCACACCCCAAAGTTTATACACGCTTCATTCCGCCACATAGCTCAAACCGCAAAACTTACACAGCCCAGACCGCAAAGCTCACACAACATATCCTGGACCGCCTAGCTTGCACTACGTAGCTTCCACTTACAAGATGCTATAACTCATCCGTGGGGGGCCAGTCGATCGATTGCCTCATGTATTTCCGTCGCAGGAAAAGGACTGAAGCGTTTTCATCGGATGTCCGTCTCGTCGGCAAAGTGAGATGGAGGTGGTCTGGGAATGATTCTTGCTTGGGGAGTCCGGCCCGCGTCAGTGTGGAAGGTGCTCCCGCTTGACACCCGGTGCGAACTTCGAAGCCGTAAATGGGTTGTCATGTTGCGTCTGTTTCCCGCTCTGTCCCCCGTTCTGTTTCCATCGTCCAGGTCTGGCGAAAAAGATTGTGTATGATGGTTGCATGCTTACCGTTAGAGCACACGCAGCTCTCGGGGTTTGACATATGTCGGATGGTAGCGAGGCATGCTAGACATACCATGTACGCATCACCGTCATTAAAGAAGAGGGCCTAACAGTTTATCCCAAGGTACATCAGCAATGGGCTGCCAAGGCCGTGCTATCCAGGAATTGGCACTATGTGATAGTATTGTTGGCATGCCAGTTTCATTTTTGTCGCTCGATTGCATTCTGAATAGTGATGGTTACTCTTGGGCGTTTGCATAGTTCACTGCGCTTGTGCTCTCCTGTGGCAGCTGGACCATGGGCACGCCTCTGCAACACCAGACGATCAGCTGAAACGAATGACCCATCGTAAGGCGAAATGGAGGAGGATGTAGAGATCTGTTCTGTTTATGCTACGGTGGTATCCAGACATGCGACGTCGCGATTTGTTTCACAACGTGTGATTCCAGATCTGGGTCTAAAAGGTTGTCCTGAGAATCGCTGTTCATGCCGAGTTCCTCTTTGATGATCCCAGTGCCCTGGAAGGGCCTCCAGAGACCGAAGGTTGCAAAAACAAGCCCGTCGCAATGTGTTCACGATCAGTGAGAGTATGGGAAGTCGTGAGAGGACGTTGTGCTTGTCCCGGTTCCGCTTATCTGTGGTGGTTGTTTGCATATCGGTGTCGAATCCGATCGGATCGGATCGAAATAGGTTCAACATATCGGGGCGGACGGAAAGGTGGGATAGCAAAGGGGTGAGTAGGGAATCAGGTCAGGTAGCTTGTTTCTCAGACGCCTCGCAGCACCCAATGCGCCAGTCGATTGAGGAACATGGTCTTCCAGAACTTACACTATCCTTCCTCCATCGCCAGGCGCGACTGGGCCAATTCCTTGGCCGAGACTAGCAATGCGCTGAGTGTCGTGAGACATTGGGCTCATTGGTACGGGCCGTCCTTCTCATCCTTATCCTTCTCCTTCTCCTCCTCCTCCTCCTCCTCCTCCTCCTCCGGCCCCCCTCATTCCCCCCTCCTCCTCCCGCCCCCCTTTGTCTTGTGTTGGTTTCCCTGGGGGGTACAAAGGCCGCTCCAACGCCCCACCCACACACTGCACACAACATACGCCTGCACACGTGCGCGAGCGCACGTGCGCGCACGATCGAAACAAGAGCGATGCATCCGCAGCAGAATGCAAGCGCCAAGGAGGCGTCAGACGGCCCGGTGGACGCCCGGGGCACGCCGCCCCCCCCACTCGGGCGCCCCGCCTCGCCGAGGTGCGCGACGGTGCCGGTCGTGGTGTTCATCTCGAAGAGGCCCGCTCGCGATGGCCGCTCGGCCGCAGGGGGGGGGTGCTGCGACGGCGGGCCCGGCAGGCGCCCAGGGCGAGGGAGGAGGCAGAGGGAGGAGAGGCAGAAGGAGGAGGGCGGAGGAGGGAGCAGGAGGAGGGAGGAGGAGCAGGAGGAGGGGGAGGAGCAGGAGGAGGGGGAGGGGCAGGAGGACAAGCTAGGTGCGCTCGCGTCAACATCTGACATCCTACCCCTCCCTCCCATCCCTTCCCATTGAGCTACTTCATTGTCCTCTCACCGAATCGGGCTTCGCATCTGACCCTGTTACCTAAGAGGGAAAGGAGGAGGACGACGGCGCGATGAAAACGAAGACGACGACGACGAAGACGACGACGACGACGAAGACACAATTGAAAGCACCAGCGATGGAGCCCAGAGCGTAGCATGCCATAGCACTGCAGAGCGTAGCATGTCATAGCATGGCGCAGAAGAGCAATGCTGAGCGTAGTATGTCATAGCATGGGACGCGGGACGCATGCGCTGCAGCGGCAGCACGATCTGGAACGACCAGAGGCGCAGAAATGGGACCGACGCTGCAGCGGGAGCGACATGTTGAAGAGCCGAAGAGTGCCGTAGTGCCAAGAAAACAATACGGCAGCACGATTTGGAATGAGCAGAGGCGCAGACATGGGACCAACGCTGCAGCGGGAGCACCATTGTTGAACAGCCGAAGAACGCCACTGGAGCGGAGCATATCATAGCATGGGGCCGGGGACCGTTGCACTGCAGCGGCAGCACGATTTGGAACGACCAGCGGCGCGGAAAATAGGACGAACGCTGCAGCGGGAACAACATTCTGAAGGACCGGAAAGACTCGGATTTTCAAAAACATAGATGAAAACCAAACTCCCGGGAATCCTGTGCGGAAAAGGACGCCGCCCAAAAGGGGGGGGCTTTCTGCGGCCCCAAAAATCAACGAATCGACACCGGATGTGTAATCACCTCCAATGTTTTTGCCGGGGATCATTTTCTAGATTTGGGGCTTCTTAAAAAGGATCGAAAACGTCGGCGCTGCAGCGGGAGCACGTTTTGGAACAACGAGAGGCGCAGAAATTGGGCCAGCGCTGCAGCGGGAGCACGATTCGGAACGAGCGGGAGCGCGGAAATGAGGCCAGCGCTGCAGCGGGAACGCGATTCGGAAGGAGCGGGAGCCCGAGCGCCTCAGCGAGAGCAGCATTTTAGAAAAAAACACAAGCGAAAACCCAACTCCGGGGAATCCTGTGTGTAAAAAAACAGTACGCGGGGGGGTGCCGAACATCTTCCGGACGCCATCAGGGGAAGTGGGAGAGTAGTATTCATATTGTGTAATTGTGGAGGAGGAGGAAGGAGGAGGAAGGAGGAGGAGGAGCAGGAGGAAGGAGGGAGGAGGAGGAGGAGGAGGAGGGAGGAGAAGGAGGAGGAGGGGAGATGTCTGTTTCTGTCACCTCCTCCTTCCCTTTCCGCTTTCTTCTACCTCCGCATATGTTCTCCTTTTCATCCGCCTATGTCCCTTCCGCCCCCTCCCGCCTCGTCTTTCCTCCCTGGCTTTCTCTTCCACCTCCTCCTCGGCCTCCTTCTCCTCTGTCTCTTCCTGCCATTCCTCCTCCTCCTTCTCCTCCTCCTCCTCCTCGAAGACGTTCGAACATGCTATTGAATCGCTTCGCTCATTCCGCTGGCCCATATTGCATCACTGGTGCTACATGTTTGCGTGATCATGGCGAGCGAGAAGGAGGAAGAGGAGGCCTCTTTGGGGCCTCTTGTGGGGTTCTCTTGGGGGCTCTTGGCGGCCTCTTGGAGCCGATTGGGGGGCCCTTGGGGGCTTCATGGGGCCTCCTGGGCGTCTCTTGGGGCCGAGGGCTCGAGATGTCCGTTCAGGTTCCCCGTCTGGCCCCCTCTTGGGGCCGTCCTGGGGATATCTTGGGCCGTCTTGGAGGCCTCTTGGGCCGTCTTGGGCCCTCTTGGGGCTCTCTTGGAGGCATCTTGGGCCGTCTTGGGGCAATATTTGGGGCCTATTGGGTCGTCTCTGAGCGTCGGGAAGCCGAACAGATGAGAACTCCGAAATCCTTCAAAAGCCCCTTCTTCGAGGACTCTTTGGGCGTCTTTGGAGCGTCTGCGGCCGTCTGGAGGCTATCTTGGGCGTCTTGGACCGATCGGTCGGCGAGTCTGAGCCTTCTTGGACCTTCTTGGGGGCTCTTGGGGCCCTCTAGGAGCGCTCTGGGGCGCCTGAATGCCGCGCCCAGATGGAAAAAACATCTCTGGGTCGGACCGCCCGGGGACCGCCCCGGGTATTTTTCTTCCGGGGACCCCCTGGAACCGCCCCGCGTGTGCGAGCTAGAAACATTGTTTGCCATTCGCCAGAGATCTTAGCTGCTCTCTGGCATGTTGGGCCGGCAAATTATAGTGTTTTCACCCTCTGGAGGCCCGCCCAGCCCTGGGACCGTCAGAAACACACAGCCGGAGCTGACACGCTGGTCGGGGTGCCGAGTTTGAGCGTTGTTTAGGGATGAGGAGGGGGAGGATGCAGTGTTTGACAATAGGGTTGCAACCTAAATACTCTCGAACCGTACTCTCATAGAGAGCAGGGTTCGCTTGACTTGCGATCAATACTCCTGGGCTATTGGGTTTTGACACTTTGACGACGTGTGCACTCATACCGGATCTCCTAAAACTGGCCGAGGGTCGAACATTTTTAACATTTGATCGTTAGAACACTCGATGGCCAGGCAGAAGTGATATCCGTCAGGTACGGGCGCGCAACTGGGGGCAGATCGTTGGCACATCCTTCGTTGCTGGGACATGCCGCATGCCTCATTCAGACTCTCAAGCCTAAAACTCTTGACGCCACACCAAAACGATCTGCACCCTACCCAAGCGTGCTCGGCCGACTCCACCTCGCCAGCCAGGCGGGTTGGCCGTGCCTGGGCCACATGCACGATACAATTCAGGTCGAGCTTCGGCCAAGACGGGAGGAGCTCTGCCGACTGGCGGGGGTCGTTACGGGCAACCTTGCGCTGCCAGTCCAAAGTAGCTAGCTTATCCTGTGCGGGTTTGCAGTGCATGGCGGCTCCGAGTTTGGCGGCCCGATCCTTCTCGTCTTTTCTTCATGTCCGGAAGCCCCATTCGGGAAAAAGGCCGAGGGAGTCAGCCACGTGGGCCATGACTTTACGACGCGCGCTTTGGTGTTACATAGCCGATGTGTCGAACCCTGGTGGTCGCGCCCCTCCTCTGAAACGAAGCAGGGGCCTTGACTTGATGCAATGCTGGAAAAAGGGCTCCAATCGCTTGAACCACGAATTTTGTCAAAGGCCTTGTTACACACGACATCTTACTCCACTCATGCTGGAAGACTTTGCACATGTTCAACCAGGTCTCTGAACCCTCCAGATTTCTGGTGGTGTAGAAACTAATGAGGGGGACGAGGGGAGGAGGGAGGAGGCAGGAATAATGAGGAAGCGGGGCAGGAGTAGGAGGGGGAGGAGAAGGAGGATGAGGAAGAGGAGGAGGAGGAGGAGGAGGAGGAGGAGGAGGAGAAGGAGGAACAGGGGAAGGAGGAGGGGGAGGAGGAGGGGGATGAGGAGGAGGAGGAGGAGAAGGAGGAGGAGGAGGAGGAGGATGCGGACGACCATGACGTGCCCCCTGATCCTCCTCACATCCCCCCTGGAGAATCGAAGGGTCAAATGTTCGTAGAGGAGGAGGGGGAGGAGGATGAGGAGCATCAGTGAAAGATCAGACGGATGCGGGGGAACACGAGGCAGACAGCTTCTCTGGGATCACAACAGATCATCGCACTTTTCATTACACATCCAGCTGCCTGCGGCAACCCCCGCCACCATGCTTGTGCAACAGCGTAACCGGAAAGAATTTGAATTCTTGACGCTTTGCGTATCCTCGCCAGATCATCCAGGAACGATGGTCAGGGGAACTGCCCTTATCGGGGGAGCGTGGCATCATTTGGAGAGCTCAGGGGGTCTCCGTGGGCCTGAGGCTTTTTGGATGTCTCTCGGAGTCTTTTGGGACGTCTCTCGGGTTGTCTGGGAGGCCCCTTGGGGTGTCTTGGGGACCTCCTGGCGGGTCTTGGGGGCCTCTTGGGGCGCCTTGGGGGCATCTTGCGGGCTTACAGTCGGGGCCCTGAAAAAGGAACCCTTTTCGTTGGGGAGGGGCTCCGCGTTCCTTAAGTGTTTCACAGCTTGCCTCAGGTTTTCCTTATGTTTTCGATAGGAAGTCGAAGTTTAATGTATGGAAAACATGTGCCTCGTTCCTTATTTAGGGTTCCTTAGGTCGTTTTGCCCCCCCCTCGAGGGGCCTGTTTTGTTTGTCCCCCCGAGGGGGGGCGTTTTCGCGTTCTTATTGTTTTACCCCGAATTTCGCTGGGGGAATGGCCACCCATCGGATCTGAAGAGGGGGGAGATGTCTTAACGATTGTCTAGCGATGCATGGTTCGAGGGGGGGGGTCGACCCTTGACAAGATTTAACACACCACGCACCAGACAACAGAGAGCCAGTCTAACACGCCCAATCCGCGCAGAAACGGTGGCGATTCCGACTACCTTTTGCCTGCTGTTGGTTCGTAGATGATCTTCGTCTTTCTCTTCCACCTCACCCCACTCCTCTGTTGCCTTCTCCTCTCTCCGCATCTCTTCTTCACCTTCTGCCCTCCTTCTCCCCTTCCTCCTCATCCGATTCTCTGCGCGGCAGCAGCAGGCGGACTGCAGCAAGTAAGACCCGGAGACAGCCCGCGGGCGCTCCCAGAGACTTCTGAGAGGCCAGTTGAAGCGGCTTCGATGGGGCCCACCCCGAAGACTTCATCACCCACGCCACGCGGAGTGTCGCTTGGGAGAGGAGTGGCCCGACGCGTCAGCCCTGCAGCCAGCCAAGACTGCGCGTGGCGGAGGCGAAGAGAGCAGGACGAGGGGACCGCAGCGCAGCGCAGCATTGCAGGGCCAAAGCAGCCAGGCAAGGAGCCAGAGGAACCAGTGGGAACTGGCAGC